GAAGAAGAAGGAGGAGGAGGAAGAGGAGGAAGAGGAAGAGGAAGAAGAAGGAGAAGAAGAAGAAGAGGAGGAGGAGGAGGAAGGGGAAGAGGAAGAAGAAGAGGAAGAAGGAGGAGGAGGAGAAGAAGAGGAGGAAGAAGAAGAAGAAGAAGGAGGAGGAGGAGGAGGAGGAGGAGGAAGAGGAGGAAGAGGAAGAGGAAGAGGAAGAGGAAGAAGAGGAAGAGGAAGAGGAAGAAGAAGAAGAAGAAGAAGAAGAAGAAGAAGAAGAAGAAGAAGAAGAAGAAGAAGAAGAAGAAGAAGAAGACGACGACGACGACGACGACTATGGGGTCCCTGATGCTCTCGGAGCTTATTGTTTTCTTGCAGACTTTCATTACCGAAACTAGGTAACATCATCAGTACGAGAAGGGAGTGTAGTTTATGGAGAGGAGGAGGAGGAGGAGGAGGAGGAGGAGGAGGAGAAAAACTATAGGGTCCCTGATGCTCTCTGAGCTTGCTTGTTTTCTTGCAGATGTTTCATGACCGAAACTAGGTAACATCATCGGTACAAGAAGGGAGTAGGGTTTGTGGAGATTAGGAGGAGGAGGGCGAGGAGGAGGAGGAGGAGGAGGAAGACTGTGGGGTCCCTGGTGCCCTCTGAGCTTGCTTGTTTTCTTGCAAATGTTTCATGAGCAAAACTAGGTAACATCATCAGTGCTAGTGCTAGAGAAGAGGGGTCACGCCATCAGCAAGCTCAGTTTGTAAGTCCCACTCCCCAAATGCAACGAGAGGGAAAGAATTTTAGGTGCAGGCAGTCCTCAACTTACCACAGTTCATTTAGTGACCATTTGAAGTTATAACAGCGTCGAAAAAAAAAGTGACATGACCATTTTTCACACTTAGGACACTTCGGACCATTGCAGCACCCCCCTGGTCACACAATCTAAAATTCGGGCCCTTGGCAACTGGCATGTATTTGTGTCAGCTGCGTTGTCCTGGGGTCATGTGATCACCTTTTGTAACTTTCCCAGCCAGCTCTCGACAAGCAAAGTCAATGGGGGGGGGGGAAGCCAAATTCTGGCCACGTGATCAAAATGAAGACGCTTGGCAACTGACTCATATTTATGACAGTTGCAATGTCCCTTTTTGCGACCTTCTGACAAGCAAACTCGGCGGGGGAGCCAGATTCCCCCACTTAAGAACTGTGCTAACAACTGCAGTGATTCACTTAAGAACTCTGGCAAGAAGAGTCGTAATATGGGGCAAAACTCGCTTAATAACTGTCTCGCTTAGCATCAGAAATTTAAGCTCATAAGTCAAGGACTATGTAATTATGTAATTATGTTTATGAGCAACAACGGTCAGCTTTTGCTTCAGCTCCCAGCATTTATGCTTGCTCAGTAATCAAGCATTACCTATCTCCGAACTATATAGAAACTTTTTTTTTAAACAAAGGCAGTGCCACATAGACTGAATTCAGTATCGTTGCTTTGCAAAAATGCATTAGATAAGCCTGCCCCCAATTGGTCTATGCTCGGCATCCATCTTGTCCAATGCATATTGCTTCTAAAATAACGTTCTATTTTAAAAATAAATAAATATCCACAGCTCTAATCCATTCTACTAAGAATGGCTGATCGAAGAATTGATGCCTTTGAGCTGTGGTGCCTACATGTGGTGCATACATACATACATGTACAACTGTGGTGTATACCAGGGCTTTTCAACCAGTGGTACGGGTACCACCTGTGGTACATTGGCACCTGGCAGGTGGTACGCGACCATCCTAGAAAAGTGGTAGTGGGGGAGGGGAATGAGCTGAACCGGTGGCAGCACCACACAAGCCTGAGCGAGAGATGGCTGGAGCTGCAGGGCTGTCAGGGCTCAGCGGAAGCGCCAGGATCAGTGCCGCTTTCCAGCTGATCGGCGCTTCTTCGGGGCTGTCAGGGCTCAGAGGAAGCGCCAGGATCAGCGCCAGGCTCCAGCTGGAGCTCGGTGCTGATCCTGGCGCTTCTGCTGAGCCCAGAAGAAGCGCCGATCAGCTGGAATGTTGCAGCATCTCCAGGGTCTTGTGATTTACATTCAGATGCTTGGCAACTGATTCATATTTAAGACAGTCACAGTGTCCCAGGGTCATGTGAAGCGACCAAAACCTGCTGCAACCACCCAGCAGACGGAGGGGAATAAAAACCAAACACCCCCACTCCACCTCCACTGCCAATCCTCAACATAAATGTTCACAACAATGAAAACCTCGGACAGGAGGAAGAGCGCCGCCGGGTGGGCAGGCAGGTGTTTTGCTCGGCTGTGGCGTGGGGGGCACTTTTTTCAGTGCCATTGTAACTTCGAACAGTCACTAAGTGAATTGTTGTAAGTCGAGGACTACCTGTACTTTATCACTTTTTTCCTTTTTTTTTTTTTTGGTCATCAAGTTTTTGGCACCTTTCTAGGCACCTGGTGGTACTCAGATATTGCCATATCCTAAAAGTGGTACAATGGGTGAAAAGGATGAAAAGCCCTGGTGTATACCACGGACAGCCAGAATAACTAACAGAGAGGTGTTAAATTGTGTAAAATCAGAACCTAGAAGCTAAAATCATAAGACTACGTCTGATTTACTTAGACCACGTCATGCGTGCGAATTCATTGGACAAGGCAATGATGCTAGGAATGGTTAGTGGAACCAGAAGAAGAACATGCTGGCTTGGCAACATCAAAGCTGATACAAAGAGGAACATCCAACAACTGGAAGAAGCTGTGCTTGATAGGGTAGCATGGAGAGCACTTGTCTATAAAGTCGCCAAGAGTCGGACATGGCTGAATGGTTAAAACAACAACAATCTACGGCTCTCTGCAGAGTATGAAAAGGCATCCAATTTCCGTTTTATCTGTTATTAAATTTGTATGCTGACTCCCAAGAACCCGAAATATAGGCAGATTAAGAAGAGAACAGCAGCACATCCCTGATTAAAGGAGTAGGCTGGGACACTGTTTCTCAACCTCAGGCACTTTAAGATAATTGGACTTTGCTGGCTGGGAGTTGAAGTCCACTCGTCTTAAAGTGCCCAGCTTTGGGGTGGATTTCCACCAGTACGCTGATGATACACAGCTGTACATTTCCACCCCAGGCCACCCCAACGATGCCCTTGACGTGATGACCCATTGCCTGGAGGCCGTAAGGGTCTGGATGGGGAGGAACAGACTCAGGCTCAACCCTTCCAAGACCGAGTGGCTGTGGCTGCCGGCGCCTCGGCATAGTCAGCTGACTCCATCGCTGACTATAGGGGGCGAAATTTTGGCTCCCTCGGAGAGGGTACGCAATCTGGGGGTCCTCCTGGATTCACGGCTGACACTGGA